CGTGAGCTGAGTCAATCCTTGATTACTGTTGGATGCCTACATTATAGCTGCTTGTGTTCGTTATGTATTCAAGTGCCAACTTAGCTGATGACACCTCTACCTCAAGTCTGCAGTAATACTTCTGATAGTTTTACACAAGTTTGTCCTACCTCTTCAAGGCTTAAAGTTATTTGACCAATTTTATCTACTCTCCATTGTTAACCGTCTTTGGTATTGAATCGTGCAACACTCAAGAATATTTATTTTCGGTTTTCAGAGTACTCTCCGTTTTTAATTGATTAGAGTGGGTATGTTTTTAAAACCATTCATTTCTCTATGACCATTATGTCTTTGATGGTTTTTTGCATAAATGAGTCAACCTCTCTAAATGGCAGCAGATAAGCTAACATTAACTGATGCCTCATCCAACGTCAACACCTTAGATGAGCTTAGGTTACCTAATGAACAACCGTGTGTCACAGCTCAGCCATGCCCTGTCATTTATCAAGCTAACTTCGTTACCAACTTCGAAGACTGGAATGGGTCCGTCACTGGCGTCAATGGGTGGTACATTGAAGAAGCTACCGTTCATGCCAGTTTGGGAAGCTTCACATTCCTGCTGCTTGACCATCGTTAATCTGTTTAATTCAATGGATGATTAAGTAATGATATTCTATGATTCTTAGAAAAATCTTGCTTTTCCAAGATAATTTTGAGTATAATGAGAGAAAATCATAAGTTTTTAGCAGGGAATGAATAACATCAAGAACTACCGTTAACATGCTTAAATTGGGGCTCAGGAAAAATGATATGACTATTTTACTCTTACCTACATCATTACAGGGCTACAGCAGGATCAGAAAATATCATATCCAAAAAGTTAGTTCCATGCGAGTGTTTTCAACTTAAAGCAGACATTTTGAAAATTGGTAGAGGCTTCTATTTTAGAATAAAATCATTAATTATGTATTTCGTTGATGAAAGGTCATTTGAACCTTGATTTCAATTTTGAAGATTTCAAAATATCCAAGGAACCCATTGCAGATCGACCTTTAAATGTAAATGTATCAATTTTTGAACCTTTATAGTATTTGCACTGAAAACAGTCAATAGGTTTTTTCATTGAAGCTTAATCGACACCGGTTCTGGTCGTTTTGAAAATTCAGAGCTTTTTCATGTTGTGAATTTGAAGTTGTCAATCTACCAATCCTGTAAAATATCTATTTGTTATGCTCCAGAATGAACTTTTGGAAGATGGCTTGGAACAAGTGGTCATGCTGTCAACGTGGCGATGTTGCTCTCGAGCCATCCCACAACCGAAGTCCAATGAGCAGTCAAACTGGGTGGAAATCTATGAAAAGACTGTTGAAGTATTAGCTCCTGAAGTGAACAAGCTGCTTAATTTCATGTATTTTCAGGTGAGCATTCTAATTTTGTCAGTTTTCGACATTCGGTAAGTAATTAAAGTGGTGTATTTTAGGTGAAAACTTGCATCACGTTCTCTACCAATGTGTCTAAGAAGTGTAACTGATCTTGTACGGGCCAGAAAAACATGTAAGAAAAAAAGGATCTTTGAGTGCTTCAAATCACAATTTCCACTTATTGCCACAATGCTAGAACTCAGTTTAGGTTACCACCTGTAGTCTTTAGTTATATAATTAAAAGACGAATAACTAAACGAAAGTATATCAATTGCACTGATAAAATGATTAAATTAATTACCTTTGTCTTTAAAATTAAACATATTTATTTAATTAACTTAAATTACTTCCCTCTGCGTTTTAGTTCCGTGCAAAAACTGGTGATGGTGCCCATATTGCACAACTGTGTGATGTTTTATTTATTTAGTATGAATTGGTACAATTGAAACAATGAAAATTGTTATAGTACGTGCAAAATACCAGTCACCGTGCCTGAAATTACCTGGCGCATTTAGAAAGAAAGGGGTCTTGGCTGTGGACTTGTCAAAGGTCTTAGTCTTTTTTATTTTCATTCAGTTTTTCCGTCTATTGACTTCCATCTTATTTTTGCCAATATTCATCGGAAAATTTCATTTTTTCTAGGATTTATGCCGTAGGGTTAGATCTCAATTGATTATACAATGATAAATTCTCGCTTGCCAAATGATAATTACTTTTTTGAACTATTGCCCTGAGGGAAGTTTCATGCTTTCAGAGAGGAAACTACTGTGTGAATCCTCTGAAAATTTTCATCTAGAGAATCATAAAATCATGAAGAATATTCAGTAGGAGTTTCAGCGAATTACATACATTTACTTGATCATAATTGATGAAAAATTGGTGAAGATTCTGAAACACTGCAACTGAAGAGTGTCCTTTCTGTGCTTTGATTCTCTCAAAAATTGGAATTACTTAATAAATCCTAATAATGAATTTGAATTTCAGTCCATCATTCTCTTCATACTTTACTTTGATTACACAACACAACAAATTTCCGGTTCTGGTTTGTCCTTCGAACCAAACCAATTTTTTTCGTTTCCTTGGTGCTACAGTAGTCTAAAAATGCCCATAGAAACTTCAGGAAAATTGTCTGGTGCTCAGGACGCCGCCATTTTGAATTTTTCAAATTTGAGAAAACCCACGATTAGATTTTTGCAAATATCTCCGCAACGGCTCATCCCACGAAAAAAACAAAAAACCAGCAGAAAGCACATGAAACTTCCTACCGAAATCACTCTCCCCTGTTCTAGCTTACATTTTTTGTCATAAAATTAACGTTTTCTTCAAAAATTAGCTTAAAGAAGGCGCATTTTTGCTGATTTTAGGAGAAACTTTGCTTTAAATCTCCAGCCACGATTATCTGAGAAAAAAACTGTTACGCTCATTGAAAAGAGCGTAAAATTTACTACTGGAATACATATCAATGGTTCCTAATCTTGATTATATTCTGTGAAACAGCAGTTTATTAGCTCGGCCCTTAAATTGTGACCATCTCCTTTCAAAACAAGAAAAAAAGAAGGAAAAAACCTAAAACCGAGGCTCAAACTGTGTNGGGGGGGGGGGGGGGGGGGGAGCCAAAAAGTTCAAACATTTTCAATCAGAGCCAACAATTTTGGGCTCTAATGAGGATCAAGAACAAAACTGATGGGGGAGTGTTCAACCCAGGCAGTTTGCATTGGACTATTAAGGTGAGGTAACGTCGAGAAATCAATTATTTTGGGTTTTTTTACACCTCATCAGTAGATCACACTAGTCAGTGAGATCAAAAGCCCCAAAATTCAAAAATTTTCAATTAGAAACAAAACTAGTGAGCTCTAATGAGTACTAATACGGAACTTACCGTCTTGCAGTACAGAACTTGTACCTCGAACTTGTGCTTTGATGCTGTCTTG